GAGAGGTGGTGGTCTCGCGCGTGGTTGTCGTTCGAAGTGTTGTTGTTCTGCGTGTGGTTGTTGTGGCTGTAACCAACAAAAGATAGGCCTGGCACCAAGCAGAGATGGGGGAAAAGGGAAACAACATAAATGTATCTGGGACCCGTCCATTTCTCTCCATTTCTGTTGCCCTCACCCGGTCCCCTGGCCTGGACCATTGCAATGCCCAGTAATGTTGCTTTTCCTGCCCCCACCTCTGATCTTTTAAAATGACAAATCTGTGTCCATCGCCTGCTTAAAACTTGTACTTGGATCTCCTTGACCTTGAGATAAAGAACCCAGTTCCACACCTTGGCCCACAGGCCTCCATCTGACCTGTCCCTGCCTTTCTTTCCATTTTCATGTCTCCACTTCCCTTTTCTCACTTTTCCCAGCCAACGGGTCTTCCTGCAGCCCTTAGAACACATCCTGGAACACACCGGGGACCTTCCAGCTGTGGGGACATTAGCACTCGCTGCTGCCTGTTCTCCTGCTTCTCCAGGCCGACTCCTGCTTAACTTTCCTGCCTCAGCTCAAAGGTCATTTCTGCAAGGAGACCACCCGGATTCGGCAATAACAACGAGGCTTTTCTGTTACATGCTCTCGTACTGTACCTTCACAGCCTTTATTGCATTTCATAACTACGCGTTTATTTTATTATTGTTGTTTAATGTCTGTTTCTCCCACTATACTTTAAGTGCCCTGAGGGGGAAATCTGATACTTCTTTTGTTCTCTGCAACAAATCCAACGCTATCACATTGACTGGCACATAATAGGTGCTCCAAAAACGTGGCATAAATGTGTACATGAATGACTGCATGAAAAGTGAGCCCAAAGTATAAAATCTAGGGTAAGAATGTAGTATCTTTCAGATATTCAAGATGGGTTCGTACCAACACCACTCACCCCCTGAACATCTGAATTTGGGTTCATCAGCCACAGTTTATTCTACAGATATCACCTTCTCTGGAATATGCCAAATTTCCATTGACTCTAATGGACCAGAAAGACACCATTTGTTCCGGATGGATTTGGAAATGATCCTGTAGAGTATTGAGGTCAATGATTATTTTATAAAAGAATAGCTGGTTATACCAGACTTGATAAAAAAAGACTGGAGTTAGAGTCATTTAACTTCAACAAACCTCATTTCCCTCTTCTCCAAAATTGTAACAATACCTTCTATCTCATAAAGTTGCTTTACGAAAAAAAATTAATATACTAATGTGTGTGCAAGTTCTCTAATTAGAGGCATTCACATCAGTTGTTCTCAAATTCTGAAGTGCATTATAGTCACCTGAGAAATTTAAGAATATCCCTACCTAGACCCTGCCTTCCCAGGTGCTGATCTAGTTAGGAATAGAGCCCCAAATCCTCCAGGTGACGGGGATGCAGGTGGAATACAGAGGACACTCTGAGAAGCTCCATTCCAGACAAGCACTAAAGTTGATTATCGTTAGCGTTATTCAACCATAGGCTCAATGCAGCTCATTCTATGCAGCTCAGATCTTTGGGAGTCCCACTGTATTTCAAATTTCATCAAAAACAACTGAGTAACAGAAGAAAAGAGCACCTGAAAACTACTATGACTGCCTCCAAATCCCATGCCCTTTCTCCTCTGCCAGAAGTAGCAAACTATTGGCTTACAGGCTGAAGCCAATCCATGGACACGTTTTAGTTCGTTTACTCAGCATTTTTTTTTATTATTTTAAAATCTGCCAACATGCAAAAATCCACATTTTTAAGGAAGGGGGGGCTCATTCCACAGGCTGCCTCAACTCAAAGATTAGGACAAATTTTGAAGCAAGAAGTTTATTTTACTTTCCAAGGGAGGAAAGGCACAACATGAAAGAAAGAAGGAATGCTGGCCCCTAGGATGAGTGGCTTGGGCTCTTTATTGCAGCTATAAAGGGTAGAGTAGTTATTGTTGCAAAATGATAACGGGAGGCAGTTGGGTTTTTTCTCTTCTCTGCTAGGCTGGCTTTATCTGAATGTGGTCTGGCAGATGGAGAGGAGGGCTATGCGCCCTTTTCTGTCTGTTCAGTTGTTTTCAAGTTCTGTAAAACAAACTCGTAAAGAAAACAAGGTAAGCCACAGGTGGTTAAGCAAACAAAGGGGCATTGTGTGCAGTGATTATTTTTTTCTTTTTTTTATGTTAGACAATTTACTAGCAAGGACATCCTTTCAAACATGGCTCACGTAAAAATTGAGAGAGCCAAAAACACTGGGCCCAAATTTTTGCAGGCCAACCATCCCCTAAATAAGTAGCAGGTGCCCCCTTCAGATTGACCCTGCAATTCACTGGTTCCTTCCCCTTCCTCCACTCACTCATTGCTGTGGCTTTCTTGGCCGCCGTGGGCATTTAAGTTTACCTGCCTACCCCATAGCATGGCTCCTCATTTCAAATTCAATCTTCCCACTCGCTGCTTAAGCAACCACAACCTCTTCATCACCACCCACTGAACCCATTAACCACTGACTGTCTCCTTCCACAGACACCGGCCTCTTCATGTGCTCACCTCTCTCCAGCTGCAGGCGAATGTTCCTCTTTACATCGTTGAACCAGCCGGGCACCTCAATGCGGCAGCAGTACACACCGCTGTCACCTTCCCTGGGGTTCAAGATGGTCAAGGAGACATCACCTCTCCGGATACTCCCCTGAAGCTGATATTTTGATGACTTCCTGGAGATCACCATCGTCCCGTCAGTGTGGATAAGCTCCTCGTTGCATTTGGAGTTGGGACACTGGCCTTTGCCCCAGCACATGCTGTTCCTGTCCTGAGACCAGGACAAGTACAAACAGGGCAAAGTCACGGGCTCACCCAAATACGCTGTCACAACAATCTCGGACGCGGCTGGTGCTGTGAGGAAAAATGAGAAAACTAGGATGTGTGGTACTGAAATCTCTCTAGTACGCTACATGGTTCTTGTGCAAATAGATGCTTCCAGGAAGATGAAGAGAGTCAAAGTTTATATTTTTTTTTGTTTGTTTGTTTGTTTGTTTTTGAGACAGAGTCTCACTCTGTTGCCAGATCCAGAGTGCAGTGGCATCATCACAGCTCACAGCAACCTCAAACTCCTGGGCTCAAGTGATCCTCCTGCCTCAGCCTCCCAAGCCTCCTCAGCCTCCCTGTGACTGTAGGCACGCGCCACCACGCCTGGCCTTGAAGTCTATATGTTTCTTTAGCATAAATCTTGATGTGCCTTTCAGTGCTGCTGAGTTTCTAACTCCACATGCTTCTACGCCCAAGTGGAGACGGCTGACCACTCGAGTCTCTAAACTCATCTCCACCGCTAGATCTTTTTGCTGATTTAAACACTCTGATCTTGAGTACCGTTCAGTAACCAAGAAGCTCTCAAATGAAAAATCCTGACCCCGTAACCTAGTTCCACTAATTCGTATAAACAGGTGCTCCAAAAGCAGCACTCTGCCGGCTGTGTCTCAGTTGATATACATTGTGCACTACTGACTCGAATGCCCCAAATGGGTCTCCCACGCCATAGAGTGCTACGACACGAGGCTGCGCTATAAACCTATATTCCATTGTCCTTCTCACCTTTCGGTACTGGAATTGGAGATTACCTGCTCTGGACCATTTTCTCGCTGTGAGATAATATAAAGTTAGGCTGAGTTTGTGAACTATTATTTTTTTTAATGGGCAAATAATTGTGTATATTTATAGGGTACAGTGTGATGTTTCAATCTGTGTGTACAGTGTAGAAGATTCAATCAAGCTAATTAACATATCTATCGCCTCCCCAACTGGTCGATTTTTCCTGTGAGAAGGGTAAAAATCTATCCTTGCAGCAATTTTGAATTATGCAATACATTATTATTAACTGTGGTCACCATGCAATGCAATAGATCACTAAAATTTAGTCCTCCTGTCTAACTGAAACTTTGTACCATTTGACCAACATCTTCCCTTTCCCCATTCCTCCCCTGTTGCCCCAGCCACTGGTACCCACCTTTCTACTCTGTGTTTCTATGAGGTTGACTTTTTTAGATTCCATTGATTTGTGATATCATATATAGTATTTTTCTTTCTGTGCCTGGCTTCTTTTACTTAGCAGAATGTGTTTCTTTAAATGTTAGGGCTAGAAGGGGCCACATGAATCATCTGTAATAGAATGGCAGCTGTGACATACAAATATGCTGTAAGGCTTGGGTTTACCATGTCAGCTATGTGTGATGGACTGTTTCACCCTTTCTAAAGGGAAGCATCAGTGTTTCCCAACCTTGGCTGCTCATTACCATGATTAAAAATACTTTATTGCCCAAACCTGAGTTTGAATCTCTGCTGCCAAGGTCTGTGGATATGTACACAGATTAAGCACTGTGGGTCATTCTGATGTAGTTGACAACTCAAACAGTGTTTGGGAACCACTGGACAAGCTCTTCTAAAATGACTTCCATCTCTAATAACCTGAGAAATGTTTCATTTTTGCTGCTGCAAATGTCAAGCCCATATGTTTAATTGAGCATCAGTGATTGTTCTAAACTGCTCCCCTGCCCTCAAAAATGCTAGTGTGGGCCGGGCGCGGTGGCTCACGCCTGTAATCCTAGCTCTCTGGGAGGCCAAGGCGGGCAGATTGTTTGAGCTCAGGAGTTCAAAACCAGCCTGAGCAAGAGCGAGACCCCGTCTCTACTAAAAATAGAAAGAAATTAATCGGACAACTAAAAATATATAGAAAAAACTAGCCGGGCATGGTGGTGCATGCCTATAGTCCCAGCTACTTGGGAGGCTGAGGCAGAAGGATTGCTTGAGCCCAGGAGTGTGAGGTTGCTGTGAGCTAGGCTGACGCCATGGCACTCACTCTAGTCCGGGCAAAAGAGTGAGACTCTGTCTCAAAAAAAAAAAAATGCTAGTGCAGTGAGAGCCAGGCAGGCTGTAACTCTCAGATTGTGAAGACCACAGCCTGCTCCCCTTTGGGTACCTGGGTACTTGCTCATTGTTTTCTCCAAGGTGCCCTAAAGAGAGGTATTCCTCTCTATAGGAGAAGATGGACATGAGTCCTAAGAGTCACCCAGATAGTGAGCAAAATCATGTGTGTCCCAGGTTTTTCACAGTTAGCTCTTATGATGAAAGGTCATTCCCAATGTGGACCAGCCTTCAGCCTTCACTGAATTCAGTCTCTTTATGTTGCCACAGTAGAAACGTTTTGCAGATTATAAACGCAGTGGGAAATTCATTTTGCTCCCCGTGAACCCAACAGAAAAATAAGAAATTCATTGTCATCACCCTCAGCCCTGTGAGCAACATAGCACACATGCACCTAAAACTAATAACCACTAAAATCTGAGCTTGTTTCTGTGAATGTCTGGTAAGTTAATTTTAAAAATGTGCAAGAAGTAGTCCACTGGAGATTCAACTGTTTGTGTTCCCAAGTATCATAGTATTAAAGGAGGTATCCTACTACTCAATAAGAGAGGACCCAATAGAAAAACTGGCAAAGGATATAATAGACAATTCATAGATGAGGAAACACAAACAGCCCATGAATTCCACCCACTAGTTTAGAAAAAACTTAGAACGCTGATAATATCAGGTGTTGGCCAGGGTGTCAATAAAAGGGACTCCAGGATACTTTGGGAAGGGACCTAGGAAAGGACTTAGCCTTCTGGAGTACGCTGGAGTGGAGTGGGGCTGTGAATTGGTGCAGGCACACAGCGGGGCAATTGGGCAGTTTCTATTGATATTCAATATGCATGTGTCCTAGCTCTGCCTTGGCAACTTCACGTTTGTTACCCACCCTAGAACAAGATGTGTGCACAAGGGCTCCTATGTGCAAATGTTTATTGCAGCCTCTGGAATGGACAATGCATATATGGGAAATGGCTACACTGGGGCATATTTATTCCACAGAATTCTATGTAGATTAATAGCATTAGAGAGACCTATATGATTAAAATGAAAATTCCAAGCCATATTAATGATGAAGAGGGTAAATTTCAAAGGAAGGCAGAAAATATAAAACACCTCTTAGAAAATAAATAAATAAAACAGTTTGCATTTTTTTTTTTTTTTGGTGGGCTCAGATATGTGAAAGTGAATGCATAGAGAAGTATCTTGTGGGATAGACACCAAACCCATTGTGTCAGTTACCTCCATGATCAGAGGAAAGGGACTAGTGGCAGTCAAAAGGGAATTTAGCTTTATAACATTTTAATTTTTTCATCAAGAGTGTTTCTGTATCACTCATCTGATTAAAAATTAACATTAAAAAAGGAAGCAGGCAGCTGGGTGTGGCAGAAAAAGCATCCATCAGGCTCACATTGTAAACCCCATTCTGCCAGTTACTGCTTTTTGTGTTCTTGGAAGAAAGCCACGATAATCCTGACCTCTTTGTCATCGTAAGATGAACGGGGTAATACTCACCTCTGAAGTAGCTCGAAGGCCCACATGAGATGGAGTATCAACTGCCACGTGAAATTAATAAAGTGTTAGTACGAGTAACCAAGGACTTGCACTAGAAGTAGGACTAGGACTAGGACTCTTACTAGAAGTAAGACAAGAAATGGTTCTTTCCAGCTGTAAAAGTATCTTGGAGAAAAGTGATCATTGGTATCCAATCAGTTGCACTTCTGTGGAATTACCTCAGACGGTGGATACAACCTGGGTTCTGGTACCAGCTTGGTTCCTTCTTCTAGCTGGTGACCTTAAGCAAGGCCCTTCCCCAACCCGAGTCTTAGCGTCACCATCTACAGAGTGAAGGGCACCTTCTAAGAACACATGCAGCTCTGATCTTTCGTGATTCTGAGCAGTCACTCTCTTAAGTTGGTCATTTTAGAAAAGGCACATATTAAAAAAAAAAAAAAAATGAGAGTAACATTACTGAGCAGAGAGCGTGAGGAGTCCGGGTCTGGCTCCTGCCCTCACAGCCTTGGCAGTACATTGAGCTCCAGAGATATAACTCTGGGGCAAGCGAGAGCCGGATGGGCACTGCGCGACTCTGTGCCTTGCTGAGGAAAAATAACTAACCACGGGCAGAGGAGATCCTAAGAAGCCAAGAGGCAAGATGTCATCACAGGCATTCTTTGTGCAAATTTGTCAGGAGGAGCCCAAGAAGAAGCACCCACTTCATTCAACTTCTCAGAGGTTTTTAAGAAGTGCTCAGAGAGGTGGAAGGCCGCGTCTGCTCCAGAGAAAGGAAAATTTGAAAACGTGGCAAAGACGGACAAAGCCCATCATGAAAGAGAAATGAAAATATATCCCTCCTAAAGGGGAAACAAAAAAGAAGTTCAGGAATCCCAATGCACTCAACATGCTTCCTTTGCCCTTTTTCTTGTTCTGTTCTGAGTATCGCCCCCAAATCAAAGGAGAACATCGCAGCCTACCCGTCAGTGATGCTGCGAAGAAACTGGTGTGTACTAACACTGCTGCGGACAACAAGCAGCCTTGTGAAAAGGGGGCTGCGAAGCTGAAGGAAAAATACGAGAAGGATATTGCTGCAAACCAAGCTAAAGGAAAGCCCAATGCCCTAAAAAAGGGAGTCACCAAGGCTATATAACTAGTTATATACAGGGATGGTAGTTTGTTCTATCTTTAGTTTGCCCTGATACAGCTTATGCGAAACAATTGTTCTGTTAACTGAATACCACTCTGTAATTGCAAAAAAAAAAAAAAGTTGCAGCTGTTTTGTTGACATTCTGAATGCTTCTAAATACATACAATTTTTAAAATTAGTATTGTCGTCCTTTCCATAGAGTTGAAATTTTTCATCTTGAGGGGAAGCTAGTCTTTTGCTTTTGCCCATTTTGGACCACATGAATTATTACAGTGTTTATCTTTTCATAT